AGAAGGAGTTTTATATTTAATAGCTATACTTAATGTAACATCCTTCTTTTCTCCCAAACTCCACAGTACATTGAAAGTTTAGTAGGTTCATAGCATCTGTAGAACCAAGGAACCATAGCACATGTGTAAAAGATTGTGGATTTCTTATGATTGAAGATAAGGCCCTTGAGCGTGTTGGCCCTTTACAACCAAATTTGACTTTGGATTAGGACACTTTATGAATAAAACTCTTCAGCCATGTTTGCCTGAGGATGTATGGGGGTAGAAGGAGAAAGCTTGTCTGGCACCAAAAGAATGGTATCTTTTTTTAGCCAAAGCAGTGCCTTTTAGTTTTTTTTGATAAGGACCCACAGTAAAACAATTTGTTTTATCTCCATAGTTCTGTCTGACGGGAAACAAATGGTGGCATGCCCATCGACTGTATATTCAGCATCAATAAAAAGAGCAAAATAGCTATTTAAGTAGAAGGAAGGGGGAAATTCTGAGTTAAGTTTATTGATAAATGGATTTTCAGCCTAGAACACTTAAGAAAAAACTAAAAAAAAAAAAAATGAAAGCCATGTGGTTAAGTTTTTAGTCATTTTATAAACTTTGTGACTTGTCTCTGTGTTTCTAGAATCTTATGGAAGAAGAACGAAGTTGCTGATTACGAAGCTACGACGTTTTCTATCTTTTATAACAATACTTTGTTCCTGGTCTTGGTCATCGTTGCTTCCTTCTTTATATTGAAGAACTTCAACCCCACAGTGTATCCTTCAGGGTGCTGATGAATTTTTTCAGAGTCTTAGAAGCAGCAGTAGTGTAACTTACTGGGTATTATAGAGGAAAGAAAAACTGTTCTGGGAAATTTGTCCATTAGATAACACTGAGTATAAGGAAGTTTCAGGACCCTTAAAAGAATAGCTTTGGATATGATGTAAAATTTTTAAATTTTGACTGATTAATAACAAGTATTACAAAACGGTCTTGTACTGTGTACGTGATTATGTGACTCGAGTCTCAAGGCGTCAAAGCAAACTTGCCTTCTTTGATAGCTCCTGTTGCAAACAAATACATCTAATGCTGTTTTGGGACTTTGAGGGATGGATGGCTTGTGTAGTTAAGTAAACACAGTTCATAAGTTCTTAAAGTGTTTCAGGCTACTTTTAAGTTAGAATTGGAAGAGAATAATTTGTTTCTTATGAAAATTATCTACTAAAGGTGTTAGCCGGATTTAGCAGTTGGAGATTATGTTGTAATATCAGACACCCCTTTTGAGACTACTACAGTGGTTTGTCAAAATGGCCTAGTTCTGAGTCTGGGAATATCTGTGAACTTTTTTGTAAGCAAATTGTAGCAAGGCACTAGTTGACAGAGACTTATTTTCCTTTGCTGTTAGGGGAGCAAAGCAGCAAATATCCTTCTTTATGGTTCCTTGATCAGCTCTTCTGAAGGTTAAAGGGATTTTATATGCTCTTGGTAGTCATCTGTTCCAGGTCTAGGTTTGTTGTATTTTGTTTTTAAAATCAGAGTTCACTCCTATGAATATTTTTCATTCTTCTAAATTGTTTACAGGCAGCTACACATCATTTTGATTATACTGAGTGTTGGTGAGAAACAGTACATTCCAAAGAGATGGGCTGTTTTTTTTTTATTTGGTTGAAGAGCTATTTTACTTCTTCCTTAACATTAAATTCTTACAGGAACTACATTTTGTCCATAAGCGCTTCATCAGGACTCATCGCCCTCCTGTCAACTGGCTCCAAGTAGATCATGTTGCTTAGCACCCTGCTGTGTATTCTGGGTGGCCGGTGGTGTATGCACCAGGAGCAGGGTGGTCAGGGTGAGAGACAAGATATTTTGTAGTCTGGAGTTTGAGGGCTTAAAAAAAAATGTAACAGAAT